ACTTGTATGTTGCCTTTAAATTTTACAATGTGTAGAGTAAGATTTTCTTTAAGAAAATAAAAACTATTTTGTTCATGGACAAGATTCATACTTCCTCCGTTTTTTTATAGTTGCAACACTTCCCTAAAATGGAAATGTCACAATAGTTGCAACAGACTACTATAATTGGAAAGTATTTTATATCAAAATAAAGTTGTACTATCGTCCTTATTATAATCTCATGACCCACTAAATTATACTTTTAACTATCTCTCTCCTCCATTTTAATTGTTTTAAATCATATGAAACCTATTTTTCTTAAATACCGTGAAAAGTATTAAAAACGGATGAAGTACTAAATAAAGAAGGTTGCGAGAGTTATACCATATGCATGATCTAAGATTTCATCCAATAAAGTCATGACCGGGGCCTGTTCTCATTGACTGAAATGAGCTGAACCGAACTGAACCGAACCGAACTGAACTTATTAGAGCTGACCTGAACTAAACTAAACTGAACTGAAAATAATCGTATGAGACCAGGCCCCTAATATTGAAAGTATATATACAATACGTTACAAATTCAAATCTCAAGCGTTTGTAATAAAACTTTTTTAAAAAAATAAAATCATTAATATTTAATTATATAAATATGAAATTTTTAAAAAAATTATCAATATTTAATTATATAAATATAAGGTCGAGATATTAATATGTAAGCGAAGTTTGTATGAATCAATTATTTTGAAACAAAGAGAGTATAATGTGTACGGAGTAACATCCTTATATAGTTCATTTACATTTCAAAATAGAAACATAACTCATTTGGTACTTTATAGACATCTTTATAGGTGTGTTATGGTTTCAAACCACCTTATATGACCACATGAGTCACCCCACACATTCAGTTCATTTTTTGAAAACTTGTCAAAAACTGACCCGAATTCGTGTATTATAGCCTTCAATTTTGGACAATTTTTCACATTTTCAGCCAGGAAACAAAAATTGACGAGATGCTTCCTATGGACCCCAATACACCCCGGGAGTCCATTTGGATGAGTAAAACCATCCAATATGCCTTCAAACTGTCAATTTACCTGTTTACAATTTGCACCCATTTCATAAACTCGAGGCTACCACAGACATTTATGGAAAAATATACTGATCATACATGGTTCCAAACGACATTATATGACCCTAGGATGTATCCCCTGGCATCTCGAGACTTTTTGACACCGGGTCCCAAAACCTCCAAAATTGGCCAAAAATCGTGTATTATAGCCTTTAATTTTGTCAATTTTTTACTTTTTTTTTTCCCCGGAAACAAAAATTACCGAGAATCTACCTATAGATCCTATTACCCTTCGGGAGTCCAATTGGGTGGGTGGAACCATCCAATTTGCCTTTAAGCATCCAATTTGTCAGTTTTCGTACACATCTCTTGTATTGGCTATGAGCTTTCACGGGGCCTTTATATAGCCAACTTAGGGTCTTATATGGGTCCAAAAAACATTATATGACTATAGAATGTATCCCCTGATATCTCAAGACTTTTGTACACCAGGTCCCGAAACCTCCGAAATTGGCCAAAAAGCGTGTATTATATATATAGCCTTTAATTTTGTCAATTTTCGATTTTTTTTACCCGAAAACAAAAATTGTCGAGAAGCTACCTATATACCCTAATACCCTTCGGGATTCCAATTGGGTGGGTGGAACCATCCAATTTTCCTTTAAGCATCCAATTTGCCAGTTTCCGTACACGCCTCTTGTATTGGTTATAAGCTTTCACGGGGCCTTTATGTAGCCAACTTAGGGTCTTATACGGGTCCAAACAACATTATATGACTCTAGGATATATCCCCTGATATCTCAAGACTTTTCGACATTGGGTCCCGAAACCTCCAAAATTGGCCAAAAAACGTGTATTATAGCCTTTAATTTTGTCAATTTTCGACTTTTTTTTACTCGGAAACAAAAATTGCCGAGAAACTACCTATAGACCTTAATACCCTCCGGGAGTCCAATTGGGTGGGTGGAACCATCCAATTTGCCTTTAAGTATCCAATTTGCCAGTTTCCGTACACGCCTCTTGTATTGGTTATAAGCTTTCACAGGGCCTTTATGTAGCCAACTTAGGGTCTTATATGGGTCCAAACAATATTATATGACTCTAAGATGTATCCCCTGGTATCTCAAGACTTTTCGACACCGGGTCCCGAAACCTCCAAAATTAGCCAAAAAGCGTGTATTATAGCCTTTAATTTTGTCAATTTTCGACTTTTTTTTTTACCCGTAAACAAAAATTGTCGAGAAGCTACCTATAAACCTTAATACCCTCCGGGAGTCCAATTGGGTGGGTGGAACCATCCAATTTTTCTTTAAGCATCCAATTTGCCAGTTTCCGTACACGTCTCTTGTATTGGTTATAAGCTTTCACAGGGCCTTTGTGTAGCCGACTTAGGGTCTTATATGGGTCCAAACAACATCATATGACCCCGAAATGTATCCCGTACAATTCCGTGAATTTTTGACACTGAGTCTCGATACCTCCTAAATTGCTTCGATTTCGTATATATATTATATCCTTCAAATTTGGCTTACGTGCATCATTTTTTCACCCGGCAAGATAATGCATCCAAGTACTTCAATGGGTTCCCAAAAGGGCCTTTGGAGTCATGGATAATTCCCAGAGTCATTGCATTCATCCTTAATCATCATGTCTTATGGCAACGACGGCATGCCCTCAAACGACAAAACTAGTTATTTGTATGCTTTGTCCTTGGGTGCACATGTCTTGTGCACATGCCACACGCCCCTTGCACCATCCCACACCCAACACTTTGGCGTTGTGACTTGTCTCAATCCACTACTTAGCATTTTTTAGCATATAAGAAGCATCGCTAACCTCGTTTTCCAAAATATAGGTGTTTTTAGGGAATAGGGTAGGGGGAGGCATGAATCGAAGCGACATAGAGCTGAATCTCAGTGGATCGTGGCAGCAAGGCCACTCTACCACTTACAATACTCCGTCGTGTATTTAAGTCGTCTGCAAAAGATTCAACCCGCCGCTCGGTAAGAATTGTAGTTCAAGGCGGCTCTCACGCCGCATCCACCGCGCGAGTTTAGCCTACGACACGTGCCCTTAGGGGCCGAAACCCCTACTGTAGGACAACAATCGGGCGACGTGCGCATGCGTAGCTTCTAGCCCGAATTCTAACTTAGAGGCGTTCAGTCATAATCCTGCGGCACACGGTAGCTTCACGCCACTGGCTTTTCAACGAAGCGCGATGACCAATTGTGTGAATCAACGATTCCTCTCGTAATAGGTTGAATTACCATTGTGACACTATTATCAGTAGGGTAAAACTATAATGCTTAAAATTGTAGGAAATAGTATTGAAAAACAACCGACCAACTACCCACGTCTAGCAGGTAAGTTATAAAAGAGTTGTCGCCGCCTTGGAGATATTCACAGATATGGAGAATATTACGATATCCTCTTTACATTTCATATTCATAGAATATTAATATAATGTTTTTATTATATGCTTCTATTGCAACTTTATACCCCTTTGACTCTCTTTACCTCATAATCCAGAAAACCCCGCAGAAAGTTCAGCTTATTCACCCAAATTAAAATTCCTTCAAAAAAATAAAATAAAATAAAATAAAAAAATAATAAAAATTGAAAATTAAAGTAGAAAACCTTTGAATCAACTCTAGCTGGAATATTATCAACACAACAATATATTTCCATCCACTCATAATTTGTTGTTGCTCCCTTTCAGACACCATATTCGAATATCGCTATATTCCTAAGACCTTAATTTCTAATGTCCCTTCTTTCATTTCATTTAATTTTGATTCCAATGTATTTTTTGTGCCTTTACTTGTTCAATTCCTCACCTTATTCCTTGGATTCTCCATTCATTGCTATAAAATATGTATATTCTCCGAGTGTAACAGCTATTATCAAACGAACTCATGTTATACCTAATTATCAAGTATACGATTATTATGACAAATTTTTTTACCATGATTCCACTTACTTAGAGTATGATTTTTTTTTTTTAAAAAAAAAGAACTCCTTATAAAATCATGGTAAATTCTTAATTACGAGAAACATGATAAGATTATGAATATTAGCAATGTAAAGACAAGTATAACACATTTACATAATAGTTCAACCAAAATTTGTTGTTCAATTATATAGATTATTTCAACAATTAGTTGGAAACTTGGAATAGTAGTTTGGATATAGTGTAACAAGCAAGACCATGAACAAACACTTAACTCATTTACTTATGATTATGTACTGCACCCTTGTTTCAAGTCTATTCTGAATAAGTCGGTCCAAAATTTACATTGTTTGAGCCTACACAAAGTTGGGCTAGTTCGTCATTTACAGGCCCACAATTTAAATCATTTATGGTTTGTCAAATTGTAGACAAGGCCGGCCCAATATATTAAACAGGCCCACAATGTAAACATTTCTGGGTTGTCTCTCTCACAATAAAAATTGAACCTTGTAACAAACACAAGTAGCCAAGTAGGGAGTTCAACAAAACAAAAATTCACAAGCTACAAAGTAATCTTAGGTCTTGTTCTTTTGAGTTTTTGGACAGAGCAGAGCAGACTGGACTTCCACACATTATGGACCATAATAGAGTAAATTTTAGCAGAGCAGAGCAAAACAGGGAGAGCTAAGTAGAAATGAGCAGCTCTAAAGAACAGGATCTTACTCTACAAACATGTCAAAATTGTTTTTTTTTTTTTGGTGGTATATGGCATTCGTTAATGAATTTCCACTTTTCTCAGGAATACAAAATACTCCTAAAAAACATATGTTACCTATATAAATTTAGGCATAAACCTATTAATTATCAATTCTCTGCCAAATACCATATGATATTATGATATGTTTAACTTTAACATTACACTAAAACTTTAATACAATTTCACAATATATAAAAACACCGTTACCCAACAAGATAAACACTCACTATCCTTTTTCATGCATGCAAACTCTCACACTCTCTCATCTCACCACGTGTCCACCTTCTTCCACACGTCACACCACCACCTCCTATTATAAACCCTCACTTATCTCTCATTATTTTCTCTCTCATCCAAAAAAAACTAAACATTCTTTAAAAAAAAAAATGGCAGATCAATCTTATCGCCAAGATATTTATCTAAGAGGTAGTCAAGGTCAAGGTCAAGATCTTCAACAAAGAGGTCAAGAAGCAGTTCAAAGTTTCAAACATTTTCTACATGAAAAAGCCCCTTCATCATCAAATGTTGTTGCATTTGCTACTATTTTACCATTAGGAGGCTTTCTTTTGGGCCTTTCTGGGCTGGCTTTTGTTGGTTCTCTTATTGGGCTCGCGCTTACGACACCGTTGTTTGTTCTCTTTAGCCCGGTTATTGTACCGGCTGTTTTGACTATTGGGCTTGTTGTTTTGGGCTTTTTGGTTGCCGGAGGTTTTGGGATCACCGGCCTTTCAGCTTTTTCGTGGATTATTAATTATTTTAGGGGGTACGAAATGGGTCATGCGGCGGGTATGGATATGGATCATGTTTCAAGGTGGGCTCATGACAAGGCTGGTGATATGGGTCATAGAGTTAAGGAAATGGGCCAAGGTATTAAAGATAGAGTCCGCGGGGAATGAAAGAAAGTTGTAATATGGGCCTATTAGGCCTTGTAGGCCTTTTGAGTCAGTGAGGGTAAAATGGTCAATATGTTTTTTTTTTAGTGTTTTTATGTTTTTGTTTTGTGGGATGTTTTGCATCTAATAATGCCATAATTTGTGCAATTTAGAATTTTGATATCAAGTTTTAAGTGGCTTCTTATGTGAAGAGGCAATTGTTAAGAGAAATGGTGCTTTGTGATTGTGCTCTTAGATGGTCAAAGTAATGTGTTTTTCACTTATTTTATCTTGTTGGACTCATAGTCAGGAAATTATTATTCCAAAATTAATCTTATGAAAATTTTATCTATCACTAAACTTATTTTATACGAATTTATTAAATTTAAGAGAAAATTTAAAACATTTATATCATATAATGAGAACACGTTTTTTGTAGCTACACCATATGACCAAAGTAATCCCAATAGCACTGATCGAGATTCTCCTATAATACTGATGAAGTAATCCTTGTAATATCAATAAGTAACACTTATAATGCTAACAAAGTAGCCCCCCAGCCAAATATAAAAATGCTAACAAAGTAGCCCCTCAGCCAAATATAAAAATTTGTATCGATTATTCGACCTATCTATAATAAAATAAGAAATACAACCAATAATATAAATGAAAAGATATCATCCAACCATTTTAACATTTGGATTCTCTTTTTAATACTGTATATCTTAAATGAATTCCGTTGAAAAAAAAAGTTTGGAAAAAAAAAAAGTTATTTAATGATGACTTGGGTAAAATTTTCAATAACGTGCCACATAAATAATGCACGTTTCCGTTAGAAGAAACTACGAAAGTGGGAGAGCACAGCATAAACAAACACACACCCTCTCCATCTATCTTGACTTTTGTAAATTTCTCAATTAAAATTAAAATTCTTACAAATGTTGTCCAAATAATCCAATCATCATCAAATCAAGTAACACTTAAAAAAAGAAAACATTGTATGATTTGATGAAGATTATGATCACATTATTATTAGTGGTTCAAATTTTGTGATCATATTAAATCGATCGATCATTCATCCATTTTATACATCACATTGTAGGAGAAAAATATAACATAAGCGAAAATGGCAGGCGCGGCATCAGCATTGTTCTTGTTAGATGTGAAGGGACGAGTTCTAATATGGCGCGATTTTCGTGGTGATGTTACTTCTCTTGAGGCCGAACGCTTCTTCACCACCCTTGTCCAAAAACAGGTTTTCTTTTCTTGTTATTTAGATTTATGATTTCATAACACGTTGATCGTTCAAATTATTGCGTGGTCTAAGACCGCCAAAATAACCAATCCCTTCTTTTACATCATTGTGAAATATGGCATTGGTACGTGTGACAGTGTGTGAGTTTATTACTAGGTGTTCGTAACATAACAACATTTTCTAAAAGGAATAGTGCATTAAATTATGAGAATAGTTTTTGGTTTGTGATTTTGTGATATAAATTGATATTTTAAAAAAAAAAAAAAAAACAGTTGTTACTTTGAAAGTACTTTGAAATATTTTGATTTTGTCATGGTAAAGTTTATTACAAGTCTAACACAATTTATAAGTATGATCATGATAAATTATGTAAAAGAATGAACAAGGAACAAAACTAACAAATTTGTTTGATATATGAGTAAAGGATGATGTGATCTCTCAAGGGCCAGTGGTACATGAGAAAGGGGTAACATACATGTTTGTGCAGCACAAAAATCTTTATCTGATGGCAGCCTCTCGTCAGAATTGCAATGCTGCTAGTCTTCTTCTTTTCCTCCATCGCGTAGTTCAGGTAAATTTTAACTAACTGATGAGTCCCTGGTACTTTATTCGTGTTTTGAAGCCTTCAGAGCTTGAAAGCAAACTGTGTATTTTGTAATTTAACACTTTGCTAACATATATAGTAGTGGGACTGCAATTTACTAGTGGAATTGCAAATGATTCTTACTGTAATTCAGGGTTAATACTGAAGTTGGTGTATTCCATTTTAAGCTCTCCATTGAGGCTGTGATATATGATAATAGGCGGTGTATGTAAATTCTATTATGATCATGGCTTGAGGAGTTGAGGATATCTGTTTAGGCTGCCTGTTCTGTATGCAGGTATTCAATCATTATTTCGAAGAATTTGAAGAGGAATCGCTGAGGGACAACTTTGTTGTTGTGGTAGGTACTGACAGCAAACTTTAAAAAAAAAAAACAGGACTTTACGTGTTACTCATCTTAATCCATAGAGAAAAACTTTGATTGAATAGCTAGCATTTATGATGTTATCCTTTCCAATCCTTTTCCCTTCAGTATGAGCTTCTTGATGAAATGATGGACTTCGGTTACCCTCAGTACACTGAAGCCTTAATCCTCAGTGAGTTTATCAAAACGAATGCTTATAAGATGGAAGTTGTGCAGCGGCCACCAATGGCTGTGACAAATGCAGTTTCTTGGCGCAGTGAAGGGATTAAATACAAGAGAAATGAGGTACTATATCTTTTTCTTATACTGCTTCTTAGATATAGAGGCTACTAATGAGTTTGTGAAGTATGACTGTATGATGCTTTACTCATAGCCTCTATTTTTCGTGATTCAGGTTTTCTTGGATGTGGTAGAAAGTGTAAACATACTAGTTAATAGAAATGGTCAGCTAATCCGTTCAGAAGTTATTGGGGCATTGAAGATGAGAGCATACTTGAGGTGAAGAAAAATCTTCTCTGCTGTTTTTATTTGGCCTCTCTTTTCTCATAATATACTGTCGACTTTAGAGCATATATATAATTGGTAAAAATGTTCTTTTGGCACTTATGTTGAAATGTTGCTTAATGTGGTTTAATTTCAAAGATTTGTGTTGCTTAAATATTCTTCCCTTTTGACTAATAGATTGATTCTTGAACTTGATGCAGTGGGATGCCTGAATGTAAACTTGGCCTAAACGATAGACTTCTGTTGGAGGCTCAAGGTCAAACGACAAAGGGAAAGGCAATTGATATGGAGGACATAAAATTTCATCAGTATGTGCTCATAGCTTTTACATTTCACCCTTATCAATTGTACCTCATCTTGTAACCATGCATCCTTGAATTTTCCAAATTATGAGTTTCTGACAGCTACATTCCTCTTCAGGTGTGTGCGTTTGGCACGATTTGAGAATGACAGAACAATATCCTTCATACCTCCTGATGGGGCCTTCGACTTGATGACATACCGACTGAGCACTCAGGTTTTTTTTTTTTTTTTTCCTCTTGCTTTCTGTGTATGGGAGTATATGACTCAATTCCATAATTGCTCACTCTTAAGTTCTCTTGCATGAGATGCTGAATTTAAATTTTTTGGAACTTTAAAAATCTCCTTTTTGTGGTTTCTGTTCTGTCTGATAGATAGAAAGTATAGATTCTAAGAAAAAGCATTTGTTGGCTATTAGGTGAAACCACTTATTTGGATTGAAGCTCAAGTGGAAAGATATTCAAAAAGTCGTGTTGAGATCATGATCAAAGCGAAGAGTCAGTTCAAGGACCGAAGGTACATCTTTGAAGTGTCTGTTTATACTGATGTAAACATGTAGTGTAAGGGCGAAGGACATATACTCTATCTATCAGCTGTTTATCACAAATTGTTAATTTTCCTCTTGCAACATTAATTTACCTGAGAGTAATGATAATTTCATAATTTTCTTGGCAAGTATTTATATTCTATTTATGAAACATTTGATTTGCATGTTAGAATTTAGGACAATTCATTTCTTATATACTGCTAGAAAGAAGACAGAAGCATGTTAAGGTTATATCTAATTATTGGTCTTCTTGTTGAATTTACCTGTCATTAGTTACGCAAACAATGTTGAGATTGATCTGCCTATTCCACCTGATGCTACAAATCCAAAAATCCGGACTTCAATGGGAACTGCAACATATAAACCTGAGAATGATGCAATTCAATGGAAAATCAGATCTTTTCCTGGAAATAAGGTAAGACTTTTTCTCTACTGAATGCACCAGCAATTTTGGGATTGCCATTAAGACTTATGTATTATACTCAAACTTTCTTAGGAGTATCTCTTGAGGGCAGAATTCACACTTCCTAGTATAAGTTCTGATGATGGACTTCCTGAGAGAAAAGCACCCGTACGTGTCAAGTTTGAGATACCTTATTTTACCATCTCAGGAATCCAGGTTCTTTGTTCTATCTTCACTTTTCTATTACCAGACGAACTACATCTTGGTGCCATCAGCTCAGTAGAGCTTACTTATATAGTTATATGAATGTGTGATTGCTGGTTTTTCCAGGTGAGGTATCTAAAGGTTATCGAAAAAAGTGGATACCAGAGTCTGCCATGGGTAAGATACATAACAGCAGCAGGCGAATATGAGATACGTTTGTTCTGAAAGCTATTTCCAGCATGTGAATAGAAGCTAGGCTATCCATTAACAGCAGAAGTAAGCATTGTCTTCCTTAGTATATAAGAAACAATTTTGCTGAGCTTGGTCTTTTGTCTGCAACCCTCACAGTTTCAATTTCTGTTGTTTGAAGGATGGCCAATTGTTGCAAGGTTGCATATCAACCTGGTGCACTTAACAATTATAGCAGATGTTGCAGCCACCAGCAGTCAAATCGGTGATTAGCCAGATTTGAAAAAAGGCATAATAGGCGGTGAACAAGTTTTGATCGGTGAAATATTATCTATAGGAAACAATTTTATCTTAATTGACACACAAATTTGCTGTCATGAATGAACATATTTTGTTACCATACGCAAATGAAACACAGTAACTTGGATTTGTTTTCGCGAGGTTAATAATCATACTTCCAAACATCAGAACTCTAGCGTATACTTGAGCATATCTGTGAAAGAAAATTGATTATTGACACTTGCTCTACCTGTAAACTTTCTTGCAGTCCTGTTTTTTTTATGCATGTTCTTAAACTTATTAACCGCAAATTAAAAACACCCAACTACGAACCCAATAGACTACAGTTTTAGCAGAGGGCAGACAACTATACAGCCTGCAAGTAGAAACGCTGAAAAGTCCAAACAGTTGTATCAGATCATCCCCCATATCATTGTCCTTATGGCTCCAAAAATTTCTTTTTTTTTTTTTTTTTTTTTTTGGTGTTGCATTATTTATGACTGACACGATTTTATTGTACAATATGCTCATTTTTATACTGTATTGGCCTGCTAAACATGTAAAAGATTTTTGTGAGTACAAATCCAAGCAAGAGTGACAGCAAACTTCTTATGTAAATGCTTTACTGCCTCTACTGCGCGAGGAATGTGCTTGTGTAATGGAATATATGCCGCCTTATCTATGACATGCAATTATTTGTGTATATTCATCCTGCAGATTTCTGTTTACTGCAGTTCAAAAAGTATAAACTCACAATCCAATCCAGTACACTCCTACAACCTACATTTTCTCTTATCCCATGTACCTAAATAAATCTCTCTAGGAATATTATAACTTTACTAGAAGCTATATGAGTTTCAAGGCTTAACAGCCCTAAAACAAAGATACATGTTAGAAAGTGTTCTTGAAGGTCAATTTTTGCTAATATACAAAGTCTGGAGATTCTTCTCTTCCTCTCCCTGGAAATCATTCCTCAGATTCATAAGCGCATTTCTGACAACCTCTTAATAAATAGATCAAAATTTGAGTCTCGGTCTAACATGCTTATCCTCACATATTTGAGGCTCATGCCGAAATGTTTTCCACTTCTTGTCAAAATCTTGTGGCTTCGGAGAAAGTCTTCACAATTTTCAATCTCATCTTTGCACTTCAACCATGCAAAGGCTGAAAAACCATAAAATGATGATCAGAAAGTGCCATGAGTTTTTAGCAGCAAGGGTCAGAAATTTTAACACAGAGGATGAATTTACCAGGTTGAGTACTAAACAATCGACCAGTGTAATTGCAGAAACCAGTAGGAAACTCAGGAGTACTGAAAAGCCTGCTCTCTTCCACTGCCTTTCTCAACTGCTGCCATCTATGTGCTACATGATGATAGCTGTTCTCAAAAAAGTTCCGGCTATCACTAGCAGGCTCACAGCTATCAGAGACAGCCTGCAAAATTTTTGCTGCTCGAAGCTGTGAATCCTTGGAAACTCCTATGCTGTTTAACTCTATGAACTTCGTCATTCTTTTAGCTACTTCTTTATCCTTGACAATAGCCCAGCTGCAGCATAGCATTTGCACTTTATAAGAAAATTGATAACATCTATTTTTTCCAAGGAAAACTCAAAGATAATCATCTTATATGTATGTTATATTATAGCTAGTAGACAAGAAGTGATACATCTCAGATATCAGGGTAATTGGTCATATCAAGTAAGGAGTAAAGAGCATGAGAAAATTGGAGTATAAATTAAAGGGAGAACAAATTTTTTGTGAGTGTTGTACCTCAAAATTAGATTTATGCCTTGCAAAAGTTTCATTTACCAATGATTAACAGTGAGACTATTTTAAAATCTAACCCATTGCAAAAGCATTTGTCACTAAAATGATGTATGCAAAATCAATGTTTAGGTGGAATCTAAGAGTTAAGACAGCTGCTTACCCAATACGCATTCCAGCGTGTCCAGTGGTTTTAGAGACGGTGAACAACATAATCTCGTGATCAGCTGGTGAAGTGATAGGAGTGTACTGTGGCCAGTAATAAGCAAAGTCATGAATCAACATCCCTCCACTTCGATTGACAATAGGTTGTCTAATAAACCCATCAGGATTGTTAGGAGAAGTGATCAGCTCAATGTAAGGCTCATCTTTATCGAAAATGGCTGCATCACCAGCCCATGTGTAGAGCCCAGATTTCAGATACTCGACCACTTGGCGGTAAAACTGAAAGTTAAAGAGATTATCAGAATATCAGCATCTGATACACAAAAATTTCCTTATTCACAGTAACTTGAACTCGCTATCTAATCTTGTCAAGACTCCACTAGAAGATTATCTTTGGTAATACTCAGCTTTATTGCTTGTCTATGATCATTAAACTTCAAACATTATTCTTTTTAAGTGTCAAATATAGGTCCATTTATCTGGGATTTACCCTGCAATTAAAGGATCCAAGAACCAAGTATCCATGTCCAATGGGGTGTTAGACGCACGTCTGAAACGAGTAGGATATTATAAACCGAAGAATTGGGGTGGAAATACACAACAATAGCAACCAAAGAATTATTTTTTGCTTGTCAAAATCAAACTTTGCTATCATCCACTAAAGCCTAGAAGTTTAAATACAAGTAATGCAACTTTATCAAGTCCAAAGTTCTCATGTAGTTCAAGTGGAGACATTCATGACCACATACAGAGGAAACAAGAAGCTAGAAAGGAATTCCAGAATATAGGGCTCATGATTATGTAATGTAAATGTTAATCCTAAGAAACACACATAATGAAAAATGAAAAGAACGGAAAAGAAAGAGACATCTACTTATCAATTTTGTCTTATGCATAATTTCATTATTAGTAAAGTAGACAAGAAAATTTAACTTTATTAAGATTCTTAACATCATGATAATGTTTCATTAAAACAAAAGTTGACTTCCAGTCTTCCATTTCCTCCACCCCTATTTGACTTTTTTGATCTAGAAGCAGAAACATCATTGAAAGATTGTTGGTCACTAACTTAGTGTCAAACGTATTTAATACTAGCTTTAAACTCGTGCAATGCGTGAGGCAAAAGATTGACTAAACAAATACTTGCATGGCATCTTAATTTTAAAGCATATTTCAATTTCTCTGTGGATGGAATGGTTAGATAAAAATTTTAAAGTCATACACAACTTGTATCTATTTTTCCTAAACTCTGCTGCTAATAATTGTGACATGACAATCCTCTATATATATATATATATATACTAGATTTCGCAAAATCTTAATTCAGATATTATTAGAATTCTCATTTTGAAGGCCTAGAGAAAGCTATATTATAACTCAAACCTTGTCACCTTAACAATTGTGGCTACATTGAAATTTTCTTATTCTTCTCCATAGAAGGCAGCTAACATCTATCCCAACTCATAAATCAGGTGAAAAGAGTGCTACCTAAATTCCCACTCGTTGGCCAAGTACTGACAAGCATGCTCCTAGTTCAACAAATAATTCAAAATTGAAGGGGTTTTAATCAATTCAATTCATGGTTGCAAGCTCTGAATTTTGTCTTATGATAAATATGTTGATGCGGAGTGGAAAAGGTGGAGCTGAATTAAGCGGAGTTTATGGTCATTAGAAGATATTAAGAATAAACAGCAGCCAAATCACAACTCATGATTCTAAGAGAAGAAAAGAACATGTCGTGGTTAACTCACAGAGTAGTATGGTGTAGAAGAAACCACACTTATAGGCTTTGTCCCTCCAGGTGATGAGAGAGCATACAATGCAGCCTGGAACAGCTGTGTTGAGCCAGTGCCAACCACAATGTGCCGGTCCATTGTGACAGCATTTCCTACAATATCATGCAATCGTATAACCTCCTTTGCGAATTGTGGTTCAAGAAACCAACAAAGGTTCTTGACATCAGAAAAATAACTCATAGAATGCCATCCTGAGATCAAAAGTGATGTTTTGTCTCCCGCTTGTTGCCAATACCTTTCATACATTGTCGGATCACCACTGTTATACAGCCAGACAATAAAATAAAGTTAGAATAATCCACCTAAGGCCGTGATGAGTGAAAATATATCATTCTTCCTAATAACTGATGAACCTAATTGAATAATCAGCCATAATATCTACATGCCGCATTTAATGAAACCATGTTCTTTGATTAATCACCCTACTTTAGTGATTTGAATATTGCTCACAATACTAGAGGCCAAATTGTCTGTCATTAAAAAAAATATGCCTTTTTCTAGTTAGAACTCGGAGGGTGTGACTTTATTGAGCTAGACACACAAGAATCATCTGATACAACGTCACCACCACTTCTAGACACTCATCCATCATTCCACCCAAACCCGAGTATAAAATAAAATCAAAGGGAAATTAGCAATTTAAAAAATGAGTGATCCTAGTACCTTCCCCTCGAACATGACTCCATAAATATAAACTAAACAGGGACTTTACAGCTAACAATCTTATCTAAAACATAAAAAAACATATTAGATTTCAGAAACAAAAGTGCTAAACTTTAGAAAGTCAATAACTTGAAAAAAATCACTCTCCACAATAATGCCTCTCTCCATGTTAGAATATTAGATAATATTACTGATATTAGACTTTTAATTGTCAAGAAATTATAAATACTAGCATAAAATTACTTTTAACTTGAAGCTTCATATAACATGGTGCTCAAATTTTATTGTATTGACAGTTTCACAGCAGAAATCAGTATCAAATTTCACTGTGGTGACTGGTTCATTTCAATTTTGCATACAGTGCTCTAGATACAACTCTGAAATTATGTGCATAAACTATTCAAGTTTGTTACTTTCATAAGAACACAAGGTCAAGAGTGTCTTGCTTATACATTCACCACATGCCTAATCCAAATGAAAACAGTTGACAAATAAGTTATAACTTGCACAGTCTCATTTAGTCACAATAAAGTGGGAAAGTTATCAATTATTTGTACTTCATTAAAATCAATTTCCTAAAGAATCCTATGAACATTTTTTTGACACAAAAAATGGATCAGATTTTATCAAGGATCCTATGAACATTGGTACTGTGTAGTAGTAAATTAAAATTTGATATCATATTTGTCTCCCTTGTAGGTGAATCTGAGCTAGACTCTATTGTCATGGCTAATTTGCTATCTGTTTAAGTGAGGCAAAAGAGAGTGAAAATGGAGGAAATATTTTCTATAAAGATGTAGAGATGTAATACATTTATTTTAGTTGTAAGTTCACAAATTCTCCAAAAATATGCATCAACTCTAACAAGCTTAACATCAACAACTATAGGTAAGTTTATCCAATTTATTTTTTCTCAAAAGTTAGGACTCACATCCTTTCTTTATGTTTTCAACTTTTCACCCTTTGGAATCTTCATAAACTAAAAGCAATGCTGAATTACAACTGGGACGGAGGGAGTATAAATTTATAAGAAGTTTAATATCAGCAGTGGGAGAATCAAGGTCAAGTTAAACATTTAGTTCATCTCTGTTCAGCTAATTAATGAGTTCCTAGTGTTGGTCGATCCCACCAATAAAAGAAAATAATTCAAAACCTTAAGTGCTAAAGCTCCCACAAGAAAAAAGCACATACATATTTCTTACCAGTTTACTTTATAGATACCATTTAGTGATCATATTCCATGCATGGAGGGGTATGGAAGCCCAACAACAGGTGGACCCAAAGTACTCCATCAATTCAATGATTGAATATGTGCAAAATAAAAAAGTATGGCCACATGTTTGTTTTAAATCACTAAGTGCACAAGGGGGAGCCATACGAATAGTATTAGAAAGTGACTGGAATTCCAATTAGAACAATGTTTCGTACTACAAAGATGACTTTTTTCCAAATGCTAGCACTTTGTAATGCATACATGAATCAAGCAGAAACATCACAACTACCACGACCATATTCAAAGCAAATCAACAATGAAAAGACAGAGATATCGTCCTCTATGATTGGATACCTTAGACAGGACCCAAAAATATTATGCCCCATATACATAAAGGGGCTTAAGCTCACACATGAGCAAAGATGGGGTTTCTTTTTAAGTGGTGGTTCACGAGCTTAAGGCGGCGCTCTTTAATCTTTAGATTTTCCAAAGAGGCCAAAAGACAACAAAAAAGAAAGTGTTATCGGGTGTAAAGTCCCAAAAAAGGCAAATTCATGCATATACCAACTCAATACTCTATAAACTTGCTAATATTATTGTAGCAAAAAGAATACAGGTAGAAGTAACAAAAGTTGGCCTTTATTCACCTTACCAGATTTTTAAGAGGTTATTATGCAATTATCGTATTATTAAGTGTATGTAACATTAAAATCATCAAATGGAACTTTGAAGAGTTTGAGGTCCAATGCTGATATACACATGACTGAGTTACTGACACAATCATTGTAGCTTGTGCGGGTCAAATAGGCCACCACCCCCATGACCCAACCCCAATGCACAAAAATGGGAGCATGTTTTAGAGAGAGAAACTAGAGAGAGAAAAGAGCAAAGATCAAAGATTTTTAAGAGGAAGGAGGCAAGCTCTAAGCACAAAGAAGGCTGCCAAATTCTAACATGCACCATGGGGAATCTGAACCTCAAAGAAAGGACTTGTCTTTGTCTATGGCAGCACAAAAGGCACTTGGAAAACGTAATTCCAACATCATGCTTATGCTTGGAATTTGGAATTACTTCTCCTACAAAGGATATCCCAATGCAATTTCCTTTCTTTTCTTGTTAATAACTTATGTCAAAAGTTGTCTCATTGAAAGACACCTATCCCTAAGAGACTTTTAAGGAAAAAAAATTAAGATTTGTAATGATTGAACCAAGAGGTAAGTCAATGAGGTGAGATTTGCAAAGCCTAAAGAAGTTTTTTTTTTTTTGCTTAACTAGCTAGCTAGACAAGTCTTAAATGTAGCCTATAAAGTAAGTAATAGTGATCGTTATGCTCACTCCCTATTAGTTGCCTAACTGTTACATAATTAGAAGGACTTTGAAAACCTCAAAAGCATTATGTTTTCGACAACCTCATGTTCACGAGTTTTTGACAACCTAAAATTCAGATTTCCCATGTTGTTTGGATTGAGACCTAGGGCCGCTAAATAATACATTTAAGGAATTTGACCAAAAATATAAATTGAAACTAGTGCATAACTTTACATGTATAGTAGTATGATACTACGTGTCTACGTATGTCGGATGTCTAAGAAATTTGATTTTTTTTTTTTTATGGGATTTCTACAAACCTTAATACTATCAACATCGAGATATGGTGGATATGATGTAAACTAATGTAAATTACACATATTTGCAAGAGGAGAAGCATTACTTTGGACATCCATATGGAACCTTCCATAACAAACTACCAAAGTACTCACAAAATAATTACTTTTTCCACAAATTACTAACTTACACCAGATGAATCATAAGAGCATATCAAATAGATACTTTCACATCCAAACCTATACCATTAAATACGAGAACCATATGATAGAAGTTTGTTCAATTTTGAATTAAGTCAACAAATACTTGTATAGGTATGCATGTGTATTTCATTTTAATACAAAACCTAACATTTGAAGGCAGATTTGAGGATGAATAACTGTTAGAAACTCCACCTCTTTTCAATCCATATTGGATTTGAATGATGTGGTATCAGAGTAAACCCCAAATCCAAATTGAGGACATTTAATTACTTCTAGTCCTTTTTCATGGAATAGTGAATTAAACACAACTTAATTGATAAGTTTTCAATAAAAAAAGTATGACAAAAATACGCGTCAATCAGCAAAAAATCTATTTTAATGCATTATATATAAAAAAAAAATAAATAAGTAATACAAATAGGTTTTGTTCATTATAAATTAGAGTCGATCAGCAAAAATCAGTTTTGAGCAATAAACATCATGAGTTTACCATGTAAAAATTAGTTGAAGAGAACGGGGCAGGATTGAAAGGTTGTCCAAATCTAAATTGAAATTCCAACTTTCAACCTTAATTCTAATCACTAATGGAAGCATCATAAGTCAAGACTAAAACCAATCCAAGACTTCTTAAGAAATAGAAAAGATCAATCAATAAATAAAAAAAAAAAAATAAAAAAAAAAAACCATGCATTCATCAACTAGCACCATAAAACTAATTAAGAACATTCATCTAGAAACCCCAAATAAATGTAAAAGTAGAAACAAGCTTAGGAACTCGTGTTACTTAGCTTAATATAGTTGGAATCCATGGATGGACTTGGGGGACAACCAAGAAAAAGATTGTCTCCTGTTTTTCTAAGTGAGAAAATTCAAAATAAGCAAAAATACAAATTGGGAAGCAACTTCCTCCATGCATTGATCAATTAATGTTCATTAACATCCCAAGTTAAAAATTAACCAAATCTTTACATCAAATAGTACTCTATTTCAACTTAATTAGGGTGAAAATGTCAAAAATACCCTTTGTTTAATAAAAACACAATCTTCTAATGATGTGTATACCCCTTTTCCTCCAACAATGTGCCCCTCCCCTTGACACAGTCAATCAATTAACAGTAATCCCACCATGCAAATCCCATAAAAAGGAGTTAATTAGAAATACTCCAAATTAGAAGATTTCCCAAATAGTGCAATCAAAATCATACAACCTAGGGATAATACAATACGGAGTACAAAAGATTAGCAATCAAATCTCGTCTACATCATTGCCCCATTACGACTAACATTCGTAATAATGCGGAATAAAAGAAAAATAGAATGGAGAACTTACTGATCAAGGTTAATAACTCTTCCATCATCAACAGTAATAGCTTTCTTCTCTCCTACAGCAACCGCCAATGAAGAAGATGAAGAAGAAGAAGTAAAAGGAGCTTGTTTATGAAGCTTTTCATGTGCACAAAATCCATTAAAGATCCTTTCAGTAGCAAAATTGGTATTTCCATCATAATACGCTAACTTTAGCACTAACCATACATTCAAAGCTACTGACACCATTAATAAATGCCTCACTGACCATCCTTCTAAACCCTTCCCCATTATTATATGTATTTTTTTATTTTATTATTAAAAAAGATTGAATGTTTTGAGCAATACCCAGTTAAAAATTTTAGATTTTTGACAATACCCAAATAACAAAATAACTAATTTCAGATTTATCAGTAATACCCAGATGATGAAATACGCAATTAATAGAAAATAAAAGGGAGTAGATTTTATTTTAAAGAAAATTAATTATGAAAAATGAAAAAAACGTGTAAATTGGGGACTAATGTTCCAAAAAATCAGGTTTAACTCCTCAATTTATAGGTTGAAGAAAAAGAAAGAAAAAAAAAAATCTTTTTGTTAAAAGAAAGAAATGAAGATTTCAAAGGGAAAAAAATTAATTGAAATGGGGTGTTTGTGTTTCTTATTTAAAAGGGTTGTTGATTTATCTCACATTGGAAGGAAAAACAGAGAGACAAAGTAACATGAAGTGAGATTATAGATTTATAGAGCATGGTTTGTTTTTCGAGAGAAGAAAAGCCAAAATAATAAAATGTGAAGTAAATTTTGAAGGTATTTATAGGAAAAACATATCGAATGAATATCCACAAATTTGAAAAATGGTAGGATTAAAGAGAGATTTGCTCACAATTTTAATAAATGTACGAGTGATAATTACATGGCTAATTTTGGGGTTATATAAAGAAGAGAGGTGTGGTCTTTTTCTCTAATTTACGCGGCGTACGTTTAAGCTAATAAGAGGTGAGGATATAGGATTAATAATTCTAAAATTGTACTAGAATTGCCCTTCTTTGTTTAGGGGAATATGGAATATTTTTAGATATTATTGGAGATTAATCCTCCATTCCTCGTATGTAGAGATTATATAATGAGGAAATTAATGATATACAATAACGATAAATTTAGGTACTTTGTCTGTCATTTTGCTCTTCCTATTTTTTTTTTTCCCTTGCAAGGATATATTATATCAAAATAACAAAAATCAAAGGGAATAATGTTTAAAAGTTAATAAATCTAAAGAAAAAGACACATAGCATTAAGAATTTATAATATATAGAAAATTTTAAGAAGATGATCAATAAAGTAAATTTATTTAATGGAATCACATCTTTGATACATAATCTTGATGTGTTGGTAAGGAAGAAGGGCCCTATCGGGCTGGATTAACGAGCTAGCAGGCACTTTGAAAGTGGGTGTGGGGGGAGGGGGGACGGGTGGTGGAGAAGGGTAACAAAATCCCACCCCAAAGTGCCTCTAGTGGGGTCATATCCCACAACCTTGAGGGTGCAATCTTTAATTGTGAGATGTAAACCTTACCACTATACTAAGCTATGCTTGCTATATAAGGCCCTGTTATGATACAATTATTTTCAGTTCAATTTAGTTCAGCTCTAATAAGTTCAATTTTAGTTCAGTTCAGCTAATAAGATCAGTTCAGTTTAGCTCCTAATTTCATTACTTCTCTTATAAAATATTCAGTTCAGTTCATCTTTAATCAGTTCAGTTCAGTTCATTTCAGCTCAGTTTAGTTAATGAGAATAGGCCCTAAATATACTATACATACCCTAACATACTCACTTCCTTTTTCATCGAGAGTATACATGTCTTTTCCTCCTATTATATTACCCTTATTATTAGTCCAAAAGGATATGATGCAAAATGTTTGAATTTGATAACAAAATTACAAACATAGACAGATAGAGGTAACGATGTCAATGAAATGGTTTTTGTGAAGACTTAAGTTCAAAAATGGTAATGGTTTAGAGAGTGATATGAGACGATGGATACATGGTTAATATTTTCACTCGTGAATTCATTATAGATGATGGGGAAAATGTAGAATTAGGTTATCTTGCCCAACCCCATCATATTAGGTTATCTTGCCCAACCCCGTCACCACCTGACTCGCTTTGTATCTATCTCATACTTGTGCGACGTGCCCATCTACAAAGCCATGTTAAACATGGATGGATATTTTTTCTATAATACAATGTAGGCCATATGTTTTAATAATAATTGTGTTAGTTCTCACATGTATTCCCAATTCTCATACTAGGTTTAAGCACATTAAAGAATAAATCATATTTTTCAATGTAGTTAGGTAATTAAGTGCATTTTGTTTCATATAATCATTTATATATTTTTAGCTCGAATGCAGATTTTCAAATGAGTAAAAAAGTAAATATCAAATGGAGAGAGGTTGATTATTGGTCGTTGGACGGTAACGTAGGTGCGAGGTGGGTATGGGTACCCACAAAGGTGGTGAGGTGGGGGTGTACATATTTTATTATTGGGTATTTAAAGGGTCAAGGATGAATTTAAGTTTTGATATATATATATATATATATATATATATATATATATATATATATATATATATATATATATATATTTTGGGGGTTTTGGATGCTATTTGAAATTATAAGGGTTATAAATGTATAATGTAAAGAAAAGGATTAGGAGTACATACATATCATAATTTTTCTTTTAAGTGCATAATTTTTATTTCTTCTTTCTTAATAGAGGATGTTTTTGGGAGGAAAGAGAGTCAATCAAGCTAAGGCTTGTTTATATTAATTCTCATTCAAAGATGAAGAGACTTCTTTGTAATTTTTCCAATTAAAACTTAATTTGTACATATAAATTTATGTAGGGCAATATCTAGAATTAGATTTTAATATTTTAATGTTAAGTTCGTTACATATTGTAAGTCATTATTCAAATACATACGAAGTAGTAACCTGTAATAACATTAGTAGATCGACTCTCTTTCGGTTTTTATAAATTCTTCCTCAATCTATATGTTACTTCTACTTATTCCATTATTGTAATCAAAGCTAGCATTATTCTCCAATTCTCCTTATTTGAACATCAAATAAATGTATTGAAGACTTTGAAGATTTAAATATCCAACAATCCAAGTTTTGAGGATTTGATCTTGTGACCGCAAGGTTATTAGCTAGGTGGATTTTCAACCAACTACATCAAATCTTACTTGCTCGAATTATCAGTTATATATCACTAGTTACAGTATACTTGTAAATAAACTGCATTTAGTTGATCTATCTCCAAGTTATAAAAAGGCATAGCACATATTTTATTATACTATGTAGACACATCTACACTTAATTAGATCTTTATAAGATGGTGCAAGTGTCATAATTATACATGTCCTAACATGGGTTTCTGATTTGGATTGGAACAACTTAAAATATTTTGATATTAGAATTAAAGTGGGACTTTCAACCCAATAAGAATGTTAAATTATGGGACGGCTTTAAACAAAAATTAAAGGTTTTTAGGTAAGTCAACATTTTCCTTGGTACATGGAAGATATAGTGTGCGCAAATGCGCAATGTCGCAATTACTTTGCTAAGCTCATCTTTAACCAGGCACTTAATAATTTGTGGCATGTTCTTTCTTTCTTTCTTTTTTTTTTTTTTTTTTTACTAATTCTTTTTCTAATTATTTTATTCATAACTAGGAAGTACGATTTGAAAAGATATTTGTGAGTAATCATGCAATCTATATACTATATGAGCTTATTATGACTTAGGGTCTGTTCTATTCATCTTATTTCATTTCAGTTCAATTTAATTCAGTTCAGTCCAATTCTTTTCTTAATTTCCTTCTCTCATAAGATATTCAGTTCAATTCAACTCTAATAAGTTCAGTTCAATTCAATTCTTAATAATTTCCTTCTCTCATAAAATATTATGTTCAGTTCGGTAAATCACAGGCCCTTATTTGAAATTAAATCAATTTAAGAGTATATGTCACTTATTTTTGTCCTAATTCATTTGAAATCATATCATCCAAGGGCATGTTTTCTTCAATTTAATTAATTTCAGTTCAGTTCAATTCCTAATTTTCTTCTCTCATAAACAATTCAGTTCAGCTCAGTTAAGCTCAATTCAGTTTAGTTCAACTCAATTCAGTAAATCCAAATAGATCCTAAAATTATCTCAAAATTTTTTACAACGTATGACATCATTCAAAATAAGTGGAAGAAAACATAGCTCGTGTAAATTTTTGAAATAGGCACATAATTGAGACAACAAACTTTTTAATGACCAACAATATTATGAATTTTTACGATTGTTGAGAAATAAAGATGGATTATATTGTTATATTATCATTTGCAAATAGTCTAACATCAACCCTAAAAGAGCTAGTAGTGTTGATTTCAATAATACTCATACATACTTCCTTTTTATCACGCTTGTCGATGAAAGGATTAAACTAGGTAAATGAATGAATTAAGCTATGAAATTTAAACCGTAACAACTTATCCCTTTCTTCTTATAGGCGTTAAAATTTTGTAAATTAATTTACCCATTTACCTATTCTAATATCTTCCTTAACATGCGTGTCAAAGGGTTGTCTTGCAACTAAATAAAAACGGAGGAAGTAATACTTTGTACTTCCATAATATATTAAACATTCTCTTCAAATTTAATAAGAAATTGAAAAAAATACAAGTCAAAAGAACTCAAGACAACATACTTTTGATTAGAAATTTAAAAATTAATTGTCATAGAAAGCAAATTAGTAAAATACTTAAGGAATTGACTTAATTTAGTTGGTGGGATGAAACACCCTTTATTCGCACTAGACCAGTAATTAGTGAGTTGACATGTGAAACACATACACCACCCCACTTTTCAGCTTTCGGAAAGAGTTGACATTGCATTGTTTTCTATTAACAATTTCTTATTACATGCCTAATGAAGTACATAATAATAAGAAAGGAAAATGAGACTAAGAAATGAAATTACTAGTAACAATATTATATTTGCCTCTATCAACCATAGTTCCTAATTTCGGAAAGAGTACAAGATATGGGTTAACGAATTCAACAAGATTTCACACGATTATTATAAATATCTTTTTAATTAAAAGTCATAAAAAGTAATCAACAAACTAACATATGTGAATAGTTTAAAGTCAATTTGCTGCAAGCAAAAGAAAGGGGAAGAGTATTCTTTCTTTAATTTATGTTACCTAACAATAGTATTTCCTCCGTATCTATTTAAATGCATCACTTTGACTGATATACATATATGTCAATAAACAATTTTGACTAATTCAATCTATGCATGACTACATAAACAATAATCATCGACTTGATCTAAATTTAGTGTGATGTGTTGAGTCATTTTTAATGTTGAGTCTCGTGTATGTTAGTATGACTCATTCCTAACTATAATTAATCAACGATTATAAATTCAAATTTGGTTGGACAATATTACAAAGTATTAACTCCCCTATAATTGACATTATTAGTTATGTAGTTAAGTACGATAAGCTATAGTATAGTATAGGGACATATCATGATATAAAAACATGGAATAATGATCAGTGGCTCAGAGGTATATAGATAGGGACTGTACTTGGCAGACAAAGAGCATGTTAGTTAAAACGATCTACTACTATATTTACCAAAATTAAAATCTTGTACCTAATAAACTCACTTATAATTAAGAGTAGACCATAACATATAAAACATGAAAGTGACTAAACCTACTTGTATTCATCCTGTGTAATTGTATTAATATATACTCCTTTGGATTTTAGATTGGTCATTATTTGGGTCCACAAAATCAGATTTTTTAAAAGGTAGTTAAATTATGTGGGCATCCTTTGTATGTTTGGGACCAAATGTTTAATCATCGATCTTAAATTCATTGAGAGTTAAGTCATATTCATCCTTTAACCATACAACACTATTTAATACTAGAGGCCTTTATAACTAACAATGTTAATTTATCAAATAAGCTAAGACGTATCGATCTATTCCATAAGTCATGCGCCCACTACTCGCACAAAAAAAAAGATGTATTCAAATGGTAATAATTATTTAGTAGTTGCATATTTATTTTGACAATTTTCATTCAAATATAGGGATAAATACTCCTTTTCACTCTATAAGGAGACTCCACTTACTAACTCAATCTTCTGCAACATATATCACGTTTTGTCCTAGTTAAAAAAAAAAAAAAAAAAAAGAGTCCTTACAAGTCACAATGCGGAGGCGCAACTAATAAGGGGTCTGGGTGGTACCAGCCCCGCCAAAAATTGAATTTTTTTAGGTAAAGATGTAAATTTATACTGGTAAAGCATTGAAATTGTGCAAAAAGCCTATAAGTTCAAGTCTTTATACAAGCTTTTTTTAAAAAAAAAAATTTATTTAACGCTCTTCCACATTAAATATTCTACATCTGGCACTCATAAGCCTCGAGCTCAAACTAGACAACCATGGCGTTCGTATGCATGCTAGCCTTGCTTAGTTATCAACAAGTTACAATAAACTACTCCATATTATAGTAATGTATACCAATCATTGAAAACTATCCATACATATCGAAGTAGACGTCAATATAGTAATAACAACACCAGCAATAACAAATAACAGACCATATATAAGGTCCCAAGTTTCTACCTATCACTTAATTTGTGGGCATTGGTTGTAGGCCGGCCTTTGCTTCAGCCTGTTTCAATTTAAGATTAGTGGTCCAAACCTGTGTGGTTTAGCCTTCTTGAACTGATTCTTAAGTTAGAACAAATTTTGGCTTACTTCAAATTAGTTTTTGATTGATAACATTATCAATCATTGTGACTTTAGAATGATAGTAAGCCGTATTGTATATCGATTTATACAATGTACAAAGTATATTATTATATAATGATATCTTAACATGATGACCGATTAAATCATACCGATGTATTAATATGTAAAAGTGATTGTGGTATTATGTTACGGTGAAGTTTTTTTATTTTTTTATTTTTTACTTATAGTCCATAGGTCATAGAAGGAATAGTAACCATCACAAAAATGGGAAAAAAAAAAAACAAGTTGCAACTATTATCCAATCATATGATGAAAACATTAATTGATAGAAAATTAAGCATGCATTGATTGAAGCTGACATTTGTGAATGGCTATAAAACCATTAATTTAATATAGGTAAATTAGGTCCCCTACTGGGAAGTTGACACGTGGTTAGGCAAAGACTAACATTCTCCAAATTCAGAGATGCTCATGCTTTGATCTAATTTACAGTATGTATGATTCTGCATCACTCATTTTTACCTTCTTTGGCCTTTTCTTGTGTATATATTTTGACTATTACAGTCACTAAAATTTGCCCTAAAAATGTACCAAGTTTGTTTATGATATTGGTTTGAAGTTTGAACTCACAAATATCATCTCATATGTATAAAAATACAATTTATATGGGCTATAGAATTCAAGTATCTAACACTATGCATTTAGTTGGCGTGCACTAACGCACATTCACTAGGTACTACTCATTCTTGAAGTGCTTGCTTATATAGGTTATGTCATTATGCCAAGCACATACATCAATAAGTATGAAGCGGTTATTGCAAATTCTTTAAACGTGTGCATGTTGGGCTATACGTCGTGCTCAAGTCGCATTTTAGGCACGGAGTAACATTTAGGGCATGGCCCCAACTTGGGTTGATCCACTTTACCAACTTCTATTACTTGAACAAAACAGAGCAATTAGCAATGTATGCATTAAAGTATTAGACCATTAGTAGGAGAAACAATCTTGCTAGGTGTTTCTGCAGTAGCCTACTTGGTGATTAGATTTTAATTCTATGTGGTTTTATGTCCAGCAACTAGTAATTAGGAGTCTATGTAACCCATTTTAGCTATTGGGCCAGAATTCTTTGGTACTTCATTAGGATGTAGCCCACTTTTCTTTGTTGGGCCAAAACCTTTATTTTCCAAAAAGGTAAACGATTGTAATGATCCTGTCTTCTGAATTTACCGTTAAAAGTAGGTAAGACAAATTATCATGCCATATCGAATCAAAATCTTTTATAGGTCAACCCTATCGAGTTACTTGAGTTTACAGGTTAAACATTTTAAAAGTAGGGAGGAAGGGTAAGAGACTTCTCCACCCTCAAAACGCCCTTAGTAATAATTTAAGGTTGGAAGGCTCAATCCTCACCACTAAAAGTCACGCATTGCTTGTTACATCACCTGTTGTTAGTATTACACATATACACTTGCAAGTATGATACATTCATATTGGGAATGTGAAGTATTTTGAGAATATACTAAATACCCCCTTTGTTCCTAACTATATGCATCACAATATTGTTTAGGCGAAAAAAAAATGTTTGGCTTATCTAATGTAAACATCTTATACTATGTAGTAGCTATGCCATCGTTTTGCACGTTAACGGGTCCAATAGGAGTAAATCAAATTGAAGTCTGATTACATACAAAGAAAAAAAAATTGAAGTCTAATTACATACAAATTATCTTACCTAATTAACTTTTACCTAAAATAAGATAAATCAACTTTTTTTTTTTATTATTTTATTCGATACATAGTATAAGTAAAAACAAAGTGAATAAAACACGACAAAATGTCTTTAATTTGTTAAAATCATTGGGAGGTGCTAATCATTTCTTGATTATTAATTAACATCTTGGTGAATCTATTCACCTCTTCTAAGGTTCTGTTTGGCAAAAGTAGCGGTAGCGGGTAACTTTTAGTGTTCGAGTAGCGGGTAGCTGTTAAGGTAGCGAGTAGCGGTCAATTAGTAGTGGTAGAGGTTTGCTATCAAAGTAACAGTTAATAGTATGAGTGTTTGGCAAAAGTAACGGTTGCAATACCAAAATATATCAAAATTCATATAAATATTGTTTTAAAAGTAATAATATTGGCCAAACGCTACCCGCTACTTCTAAACGCTACTATTTTTAACGTTTGAAAAAAGCTGCCTAAACGCTACCTTTATCGCTAACCGCTACTAGAATCGCTACCTTACCAAACGCTCTTATATTTTTTCCAGTAGTGTTTTGATAGGTCAAAACGCTAACCACTACCTCAAACGGTACCACCAAACTGGGCCTAAAACGAAAAAAAAAATGGTAAACCTTCTTTTCTTAAACATTTTATCATCCGTTGTTTTAAAAGAAAATAACAAGAGATTCCTTTGAGAACTTGTGATTGTTGTGAACATTCAAACATAGAATGACATTCATCCAATCTGTTAATCTGTTTAACCCTTATAATTACATGTTCTAGATACGATTAGTATATATTTATTTTTATTCTTTTTGGAAGATGGAAGAAATTGAGGTTTGTACTGGAGAAGAAGAGGCGCAGCAATATACTCAGAATCAAGAAGACTCTTTTGTTTGGGACCAAAATTCCCAGCTTTACTATCATGCCAGGTTTCTTCTTCTTCCTATTTACTCAAATTTTAGTGGGAGTTTTATTTATGTGTAATTTCCAAATAATCAATTACCCATTTATCTTAATTTTTCAATTGATGCAAAGATGAAGAAGAACATATTGCAAGATTCATAAATTGGACATTTTTACTTTTTTGATTGATTAAATGATGTAATTGCCCCGTTTCCATAAATTGATACCATTAGTTAGTTGAGTGGTGGATGTCAACTAGCTTAGTTGGTTACCGTCTTCCCAAATGGGTTTCGAAAATATGTAATCGAATTTCGTTTACATCATTTCCTGTCTCCTTGAATCCAATACATATATAATAAACTTGGGTGGTTAAGCTATTATGGATAAATTGTGTGAATTTGTTGTTGACTTATATGAGTAATTTACATGGGTGCAGAAGTGGGTTTTATCATAACCCAAATGAAGGGTGGTATTACAATACTAGAGATGGATTTTACTACAAATTTGAGGATGGAAATTATATACTCTTTGATTCCTATAATAAGGTATAATGTTTGTTTTCTTTTTTTTGGTTGCCTTGATTTTCTTGGGAGATAGATGGTAGAATCACATCTTAATTGTTATGCAATGTAAATTGTAGGGTTATCAATCAGAAACTGAAGGCCAGGGTGAATCTCAGCTGCAAGCTGAATGTAAGCAGGAATATGAGCTAAATTACCAAGAAAATGATGATGCAGCTCAGCAAATAGGTATTGTTGAATTAAATCTGTATGTTAATTGAATTCTCCTCCTGTTAGTTGCCAGTTTTCAATGCTTTAAAAAATGAAGTTGTAGCTTAATTTACGTTCCGCCTTCACCTTTGCACAGTTTGCAGCAGTCTTATTGTTTATAAGTTTTTAAGTACTGGTAGTTCTTCACCTCCTTTGCCTTCCTGTGAACATTGGTGCACCACATTTCATCTGATAGTTGTATTAGAACATTGAGTACAACTCTTGAGCTAACTCACTATTTTTTAATGTCACCAGCACCCTTTTTGTTTTTCATATGTTGTTGAAAGATAAAATCTTTTTAATCTCTCTAGCAGGCGAGTGCACTAGCAGCGAGTTGCATGGAAATCCTCCACCGTCAGAATGGTAGGCAGCTACTTTGAGGTAAACCTAATCATTGCAGCAAATTCAATACTTCTATTTCCAAATTGTTAATTGTTGTCCCTTTTTCATTTTCTGAAGGTTAGAAGAGACATTAATTGAACTATATTTGTCGGGCTATCAAAATACAGCGTCTAATCCCACTGATTACCAGCAGTTTCCTGAGGAAACAAATGATAAGGATGGTTCTGTGTCCACAGTTGATGGTCAGTTTACTCGGTTATATGTTAGTACATATGAAGTATGTAGCATTAGACATCAAGATTTCGTATCTCTGACGACTTCTGATTATTCTAGGAAACAAAAAATTGTATGGAGATGGAGATGATGAGTTGAGTATGGACCATTACACTGCAATGGATTCAAGTGATAATTTCATGAACGAAGGTTTATTTTTTTTTTAATTTTTTTTAATTCAAATTTCTCTGAATACTCTTATCAATCCTTAACAAACATTTGCAGATTTATTTTGGTTCTTTTCGGTTTTTACTTTGTCAGATTATCTTATTGCGTGTCTATTCTTCCATTTGAGTTTGATGTTATAAAATCACATTGGACCCTTTTTGAAGGTCCAGTGTGATTTTTGCAGATTGAGTTTTATGGCTGACTTGAAAAGGTTTTTCTATATGTCTACGATGAATTGGCTTGTTTGTTGTCCTGATCCTGTGACCATCTTCTGCAGAAGCTTCTTGGGAAGAAGAAAGCTGGCAGGCTCAATATGGTCAGGTTGTCCAACCGCAAAATGATTTTGGGACAGAGTTTCACATTATAGATTTGTGGGATTGGTCAATGGAAAGAGAGATAAAAAAGGAAGGAACCTTCCCAGTGGCTAAGCTGGTTGGGAGATTAGTGCAGCCTTCTTCCAAGCTTCATCCTTCCATGCCTTCTCATGGTCGTCGTTTGAAAACAGCTCCAATATGCAAGGCTCGTCTTGATTTGGTGCAGGTTAGATCAGGTTTGCTATCGACCTCATTTTATTTAGGAATTTGACAATATGCTTTATATTCTATCATGCTCTTCCTTAACCACACTTCCCGATATGCAACCACTCCTAACATTCTTATTAAAAAAAAAAAAAAAAGAAAAGTGATTTCATAATAGTTTGGCAAGATATTGCTGGAGCCAACCTGCTGATACATTCCTGCCCTTTGACATGACTGCCTTGCTGGGGAATTGGGACTTTACTGATCTATTTTTAGTATTTTTACCCTAGCTGAAACCTGAAAGCAATTACCATGTAACAACATTTGCTCTCAAATATGCACAGTTTCCCATTCTATGTTCCTCCCTACAGCTGGGTGAAATTCCTTGATCCAGTCATGATTAATGAGCACTGAATTCAGTTCAATAAGCATAGCCTTAAGGTTCGTCAAAACAATCCTATGATCATAGTATTGGCTTTCAGGCATTGATCAACTTGTGTGAGTTTTATTTCCGTCAGTTTGTCCTTGGAGATAGCCTAGTTGCAAACTTCGTCATCAAAAATTAGTGTAATGAATAATGATCAACTTCGTTAGACAAATTTTTTTGTGATCATTATCTAAAGCATTTTTGTGTTGATTCTTTTTTGCTGCCAAGTGAAATAATTTGTTTCCCTTCACTGATTTTTTATCTGTCATTTCCTTTTAAAGTTTTACTCTCTTTACTTTCTTTCTTATCAAACATGTATCTGCAACCTTCTTATTGAAAGAGATCGTTATGCAGGGCAAGTGTATAAGCTGCGGACCCCTAGTGCAAGATATTTAGCCACGTTGTTGAATTATGATGCTTCTAATCCAACCAGTGACTGGGGATTTCCTGAGCTATCAACTGAAGGGACTAATAAAACATGTGGTTCCAAAACAGCAGTAAAAGATATTGCTCAGCAGTATACAAGTTCATGCCATGATCCCCCTGTTAATGAGAAGGTATGTCCCTATCATGTACCAACTGAAGTTTTGTATCATTTATAATATATTGAATCAACTAAGATAACTAAAGTGTTATTTTAGAGTATAAAGAATGTTGACAATCACATTGAGCATGTAAATGTGATTATATCATATCACAAGTTCACTACATACTTCGGATGGATTTGGAATCAAGTCCACCAACCATCTTAGAGCTAGACTTCCATTTAAAGTGCTCTTTGAGAATTGACAGAGATTGATGATGGGGGATTAGGGGAGGTGGGAATTTGGAGGCACTACTTACTACTTAGAGGAGAGGAGATAATGAAATCTATTAATGGAAAGAGGGAAATTAGATTAGGTCAAGGAAACATCATTGCTTTAGGGAAGAAAGATATAGTGAGGCCGGAATGGAGATATATATACCAATTATAACCAGCCTGTTGTGATGATTAAGTCTAGACTTGGCTTCATACAGCTGATGACCTAGTCTTGCCTTTGTTGGATGAGAGGTATGCAGATGAATCACTAGTGAAAATTTTGGTATGTGTACCAGCTGAGACAGTGTTTAATTAGGTGTTTGGCTAATTTATCATCATTTTTGCAAATTTACTCGTTGCATTATTTTCATGGATCCCTGCACTACTTGCCAAATATCATTTTTCCAATAAATCTTTGACATATCATTTCTTTTGTTTTTTTAGAAAGTTAAAAACATTTCACGTCTAGAGCATTTTCGTTCTCTGAAAGTGCATTGATCTCAAATTCTCAAGTACTGCTTATTGTGCTTCTGAACATTATTTCTTTTCCCAGCACAAAACCAATGTATATAGGGACAGAGCTGCTGAAAGAAGAGCACTGCATGGCAGTTTTGGCGCAGCCCCTGAGCAGAAAAGGTCAGCTGATGATGCTAGTCCACCTCCAACTGAGGAAGCAGCAGCTGAAGCCTTGGAAATGTCCCTTGGAGCTGGTAGTTATGCCCAAAAAATTCTGAAAAATATGGGCTGGAAAGAGGTACATCCTTGTTTTGGATAATAAGGACAACACATTTTGGTTCTTGTTTCAGTTAATTAATTTCCAACTTCAGATCAGTCCTACAAAAATGAATTCATTCATAGTTAATACTACTTTGCAGTTTCTTTTAGCATACTATGGATGTCATTTGTGCTAGTAGTTCCTTATTACTTATAGAGTAATTCTGCGCTTTTGTGCCCAGGGCGAAGGACTTGGCAAAACTCAACATGGGCTGAAAGAACCTTTACAAGGCATTGGAAATAAAGGTACTGCTGGGTTGGGGTGGAAATCTAGATGAAGTAAGCAAGCAATGACTCAAATTAAAAGACTTCTGGTATAAGTTTGACGATTTATCTCTGGCAGTTAGGTCATGAGACTAGCACAGTTTGTGCTGCCGAATCCTACCAAAGCCTGGGTGCCTTAGTTTAGCGTTAGTTTACTTGGAAACTGTTGGATGCAGTATTATTTGTATTATTGCTCCTATATAGGACATTTGACTAAGATTACTTGTGTCATCAGTCATAGATAAGAAAGTGGAGTGGCATGTTCTACACATTTGCTAATTGCTTAAAGGTAAGAGTGTAGATATTTGGAAGGCACCTTAGATTGTACTGAGAAACTTTTGCAAGCTTTAGTTCAGATTGTGCAATATAATTAACTCCCAACATACACATTCTATCAAATGGCTCAGGTTATTATTTTTGTATGCGGAGTTGTCCGAAGTGTTTGATTTTGGGTTGATCCATTGGAGGTTAAAGAATTTGACTTCACTTCTCTTTTAGATTTTGGATTTCTCTTTGATAGAATGGGTAGTAAACATTTTCTTCAAAAAAAACCATTATTTCAAAAACCTATTCTAATGGTTGATGGTAGTTTTATCAAATAAAGTTGTTTTAATTTCCTTCTATAACTATAAATGTAGCATTTTCAGATCTGTAGGATAATAAACATGTACGGATTCACACTATTATGTACAGCCGTGTATGTCACAAAAATTTGTTCAAACCACGGGTTTTGGCCATTTGGGTTAGGTTTAAAGTTTGATAGGTCGACACTTAAACTCTGCATATTGCAAAGCAATTGATGCACCAACTGTTACAGCAATTTAGCACCATACCCATCAATTGAAATGCAATTGCCTGTAATGGGGAAAAAAAATCCCTTATCCCATAACGAAAAGCTTAATATACAACATACAAGTGGAGCCAACAGACTTCACTTTCTTTTCAAAGAGAATGTTTCTCTGCAAAATTATAGTGATAGTCTACATGGAACCAAAGATATAACAATAATGTACAGGTAACATATGGTGAAGAAAATGCAAATGACTCCTCAAAAATTGACTTCAGCATTGATCAAGCTCAGTTTGTGGTACATCCTCAGCTTCAGTCGATTGTGGCTCATCTGTAACCATTGGAGCTGAATCATTTATTTCTTCAGCTCCGTTTTTTTGTTGCAGCTCAAGCTTCAATCTCTTGATCTCAGCATCCCGCTCTTCTAACTTCTCTTGTAAGATGACGACCTGCAAAGTTGGATGGCTTACTTGATATCTTATAAAAGTTGGAGACAGTAATACACAATTCATCAACCCAGATTACCCCATACATGCAATTATATATTATGAGTAAATTTCCTCAAGATCAAATAATAAAGGGGGATAGGGCACAAATACTCAATTTTTAACTAATTAAAAAAGAGAGTATTTCATTCATTGAAGACAAAATGTGAACTAAAAAATTGAGAGTATTAACTACATGGTTTGCAATTCAACAGGTAAGACTTCAAGGAGAATTGCACGAGAGCTTATAAAGATGAAGTGTCTGCAAAAACGTGAATTAAAAAATTTTGGATGTCAAGTTCCAAGTGTTCTCCCTCCGTCCCTATAATTTCACCCCTTTGACTTTTACGGTCTCGTAGATGCGTCTAAAATGTATATATCTCCATCTCTATACGTGTTAAGGTGATAAAATATAAATAAATAAATAACATATATTAATATAATATACAATGAGATAAATCTAACAAGATCCCAGACGACTATATTATCTCTTATAAATTCACGAGACTTTATGGTCAAAGTTTCTAAGTTTGACCCAAATATTAGCCGTGGGACAAAAAAAAAATGGACAGAGGGAGATATATACATTTTAGACGCATCTACGAAGGTAATAGACTCATAGTTTGCACGAAAAACAAGGTATAAAATTAATATTCTGATCAACAGGCATCCAGTATATCAGAAGCTTTAGAACCACCAAATAATAAATAAATAGATAATTTACCATCTCATTTGATCTCTCAACATCAGTTGTCAGCACCTCTACGCTTTTACATAGTCCTGCAAAATGCAACAGAAGCATTTCATCAGAAAACTGGGAGCATATAAGTATATAAAAACGCATTACTCGTGTCGTTGAACAAAAAAAAAAAAAAAAGATATCAATCTGAAGAAATGAAGTCATAACCCAAAGATGCTAACATTCCCTTTTTTGTGTGAGTGAGTGTTGGGGGGGGGGGGGGGGGAGGGGAGGGGGGAGGGGGCAATTAATTCCAGTAACTAGTGCAGTTAACTTGCCAAGTTGATCTTTCATATCCACATCAGCATAAGATCAGATGTCTCCAAAGAGACCACATCAGCATAAGATATGTCAGGCACCTCCATCCTTATCACAGATAAGACATATGGCCTGGCCTTGAACACTCTAGAGCATCCGCATATAGATCAAAGCAGTCATACTGAGATCTCGTAAGTAAACACATGTAGCGGGAGAAAAGGCACAAAATTTATAAACAGAATAAGCTCCTTTCTCAAGTTTTCCTAAACAATGTCAATTGTCAAGGACATGAGATGACATGCAAAGTTGAGCATGAAGTACACATGCACAATTTCCCTCCAAATCAACTTACAAGGTTACTGACAACAGCAGAGATCATGAGCAGAGAAAAAATCAAAGTTATACTTCAGTCCTTTAAGTAATTTAGATGCAAACTGGAGGGGGGGAAAAAACACACACACACACACACACACACTTAAGAATATTTTTTAGATAAACCGGTTGAAGAATGAGATAATTAGAAAGAAAGTAGGTGTTACATCGATTAAGTACAAGATCAGGGAGAGTTACTTAAGATGGTTTGACCATGTAAGGAGACCAGACGCTCCGGTAAGGAGGCTTGAAGAATTTTAAAGTGTTGGGATCGCGAGAGGCGGAGGAAGACCTAAGAAAACTTGGGAGGGTGGTTGAGAATGACATGAGTGCTTAGGGGATTGAGGAAAATATGGTGTTGGATAGGGCGGTGTGGAGGGAGAGAATTCACGCCAACGTGTCGTGATTATATACTACGTATATACTTTCTAAATTTATTTTTGTATTTATTTTATTATTTAATCCCACTAAAGTTTTCTCAAACTTTTCTATACCTCACTGAAACCTTTTAAACTTTCTTTAACAATCCCTTAATTTTTCTAGGATGCTCTTTCGTTTGCTCACTCTACTCACCATTTTTCAAACTCATTAAAATGATTATCTAGTTATGTCCCTTTCTTTATATCGTACAGTTCCTTATGACTATTCATGTTAGGCGAACCCAAATCATTTTAGGACGAAGACTTTGTTGTTGTATAGACCCAAAGAAACTAAAATGCGCACAACCAAACAATAACAGGAGGCAAATCACACAAAAATAGTAAAACTGAGCCTATCTAAATAAAAAGATTTACAATTCACAGAACTAAATCCACCCAGATAAATGGTTATCATTCTGAATGCGCACAGAGATGCTGGAGTTCCAGCCAAATCACTGACCTTCAAATTGATTTCTAAGCTCTGCATTCCGAGACTTCTGCAAAGCAAGTTTCATAGACAACTCATGCATCTGTGGAGTTAAAACATAAGTTAGCAAGATACAAAAGGGTTTTATCCACGTACAAAAAGAAGACAAGTATCATATATATCTTGTCCCCAAATTATCATATAACATGTTGACCAACTCAACAAATTTTCATGTGCGAGTTGGAATGTTACACTTGACTCCAGCTATTCAACAACCTTAAGTAAAGAAACTTGAATCTATTAAATGGGCAACCTTCATCATTCAAAAAGCACCAATTTCCTCCTTACCAAGTAAACTAACCAGATTGTCACAAAATCATCTTCCAACCTCAAAAGATCCTACTGTTATATCCTTCTTTCCCATCCACAAGAACATCTTTGACTGAAAAAAGTTGGGACACACGACATCATAACTGAAGCCAGTGGCGGTACCAGTATGGGTTCAGTGGGTTCAGCTGAACCCATACTGGATCCGAAAAAAATCGGATAGATTTTTTTTAACATGAAAAAAAAGGTTTAAATAACAAACAAAGCAAGTAATGATAATATGCGCTCAGTTGGCCCAGTGGTAAATGCCTTACATGTTTAGAAGTAAATCATCGGTTCGAAGCCCAGGGGGGCAGCAGCAGCTTTACGTTCTTTCTTTTTTATTTTTCTATAAACTTTTCCCCCACAAATCTCTCTCTCATCTTAAGGAAGTTTGATTTTTAATTTTAGAGTTGTAAAATTGTTATGATATTGTTGATTGAAGTTGTTATTTAATTGATTAAAGTAGTTGATTTAAGTTGTGAAATTGTTGATTGGAGTTGTAATATCGTTAAAGGTATTGGCCTATTGGGTAAATGATGAAAGGTTTAGAGTATTTTTGGAAATATTATTTGTCAAAATCATAAAATTCATTTGCCTTTTCCTTCCCAAATTCAATTCTAATTAATGAACCGCCTTAAAATTAAATGAACCTCCAATACCTCAAATCAACATATATTGCGCACACCCGCTTTATCAATTTTAAAATTTATTTTTACTTATGATACTAGATATAATTGTTTGCGTTGGAGATTCCGAACCCATAAGAGCAAATTCCTGGAACCACCACTGACTGGAGCCAATGGCCTAACATGGCTTCTTTCATAAAACTAAGATCCTCGTTCGAAGAACTTCATTTCTCTAGGGGTAACAGCAATCTAACCAACAAGTACAGTAAAGACCCGTACCAATATCATCTTGACATATAGGTTTACAAAGATGTCAATCATAGTTTTAATAAATATCACTATAGGGTAGGTCCACTATAAATAAAGTTCAGCCTGTAACCTACATGCCCCAGAAAGCAAGATTATAAAAAGCATGAATGCTAATCCTGTTCACATAGCATATAAAAGGGGCAGAAGAGCTTTTCATGCAATATGCCAATTCACTTAGGTCGATTCACTTATCCTCTTCCCTTCCCGACATAGATCTTAAGGAAATTTATTATTAAAAATAAAGCTAAGGTAATAGCATACCTTCCCCTCAGAAGCTTGATTGCCTATCTCTTCATTTTCCTCTTGCAAAGTCTTGCACTTCGCCATCAGCATCTTCCCCATCTTGCTATTTGGTGTAAAATTAATAGCATTAATATTGTCCTGCAACTCCTTCACTTTTTTCTCCTTTTCTTCAACAAGGTTCTGATATCATAACAAAACAATCTCAGATAAACCAAAAAATATATATATCATCATCAAACCACTAGCTACTTACAAACTAAGTCCTGGATATGGAATGAACATACTTCACAGTTCAAACTCTTGGATAACAATGAATACATTGAAAGCAAGTAATAGCAGACAATGTTTGCTGAAATCTTAGCA